AATACAAACTGTGTTTTGCTGCCGCATGCATACGGGGTAGACCTCACAAGCCCAGACTATGGTGAGTCTATTCTTTTCTTTTTTTATTATTTTTATTTTTTTAATTGTGTGTATTGTGTTTATTATTTTTATTATTTTTATTATTTTTATTATGTTTATTATGTAGTTGTGTTATTATTTTTGTTTTTATTTTTTATTATTATTATTTTTGTTGTTGTTTTTTGTGTTTAACTTTTTTATTTTTTCATTTTGTTATTACTACATTTCTTTTTTTTTGTTTTTTTTGCTTTTTCTGTATTTAGGGGGCCGGGTAGTATACGCAGCTCGCAGCAGGGCCTGTGCCAGCAGCAGCAGCAACAGCAGCAGCAACAGTAGCAGCAGCAGCAGCAGCAGCAGCAGCGGCGGCGCGTCGTTGAGAGTATCTGACTTCGGCGCATCCGCTGCTGCCGCAGCAGCAGCACCACCGCCAGCAGCAGCAGCAGCAGCAGGAGCAGCAGCAGCAGCAGGAGCAGCAGCAGCAGGAGCTGGTGGTGGTGGGCATCGTGTACATATTGAACTAAACTGGCAGCAGCTGGAGTTTGCTGCTAAGCAGATGCTGCACCCTCGCCAGCTGTTCTGCCGCTTCGGCTTGGAGGGTACCGAGACAGAGGGGGGCCCCGCAGAGAGTTTTGTTGCTCTGGGCGTCACAGACCTGCCCCCGCCTCTGTCTCTTTTCCTTGATGAAACAGCCAGCAGCAGCAGCAGCAGCAGCAGCAGCAGCAGCAGCAGTTCATCGCCGTCACAGGGGGGATCAACTTCTCCTGCTGCTCGCAGCCGCATGAGAGGGGCTGCTGAGGAGGCAAAAGTTAATACAAAAACAATCAACAAAACAAACGACAAAACGGCAGCAAATACAGCAGCAACTGCAGCAACTGCAGGAGCACCTTCTGCTGCTGCTGCTGCTGCTGCTCCTGCTGCTGCTGCTGCTGGATCCACGTCTCCTAGAGCAGGCTGGGCCTCCCCCAAGGCGCGGAAACGCCCGCAGCCGAACCCCTCTCATGATGAGGGGCCCCCTGGGGGGCCCCCTGGGGGCCCCCCTGGTGCCCCCTTGTTGCTGCTGCAAGGCAATGAGGCTTTGGGGTTCAACCCTC